AAGTTTTATGCCCCCATATTCCTGATTTGAAGCAACAACACAGTCGGTCACTGTGGAAAGCCCCTTAAGAACACCTTTCTGGTAAAATTGCAGCAAACATAGCAGCTCACTCATTCCCTGTACTTAGCACTTTTCCTGGCTTGTAAACCAACCCTGGCATTTCACGGAGGAAGAAATTGTACTGGAGTCTTCTGAGATGCTTCTATTTAGCTGCATTTTCAGAAAACCTGAGCTTAAGGTTCCACCATCCCTGCAAAGTGAGAGGTGTTTCATATCTGCTTGGCAGCAAGAGCAAAGCAGGCAGAAAAATTTTCAGGTTTCTGGGATAAGTGCAGTGAAGCGAGCATCGATGGGGGGGGGAGGTATGGGCTCCGTCGCACACCCGCTGTGCTCTCTGTTACCAAAAATTCTTCCTTTCCCCTTCCCCCTCTCACGTAAACATTTCTGTGGAGTGTCTCTTCTCTGCACAGAAGCCAAGCAAACTCAGTGCTGCATCATTGGAGTGGCTGAGAGAGAGCCATTCTGCCTTTTTAGCAGCCAGCCCCACTGCCTTGCTGTTGTTAACCTTCCCCTGGCAGGCTGGAAAGTGGTGGGAAATGTCCTTCCAGTATTGCCTCGTCCCTTGAGGTTTGGTCGTTTCATAGTTGTGCTGCAAATTCAGAGGAACTTGATCTCCCTTTGTCTGCTGCAGGAGAGGAGGCATGAGCAGCAGCTGGCTGGGTTGCTGGGTTAATTTCAGATGCTGAATTCTCTGCAGCTTTGTCTCTTGGCCAAAAAGCAGCCGGATAACGTTCTTTGAATAGTTTTGCCATGGCTTGCCCTGAAGCCTTGTGGTCTTTGGGAGTGGGGAAAGACTTGAGAGGACAGATTTTCAATACCTATTGACCCATCTCTCTTCCATGTGGGATGGTTTGGTCCCACTCTGATTGGTCTGTGGTAGCCATCTGCCGATCTGCGTAAAGGATAATGCTGCTCGCACCTCTTCATGGTCTCCATATTCCATGGACATCAGCATACTATGTGTACAATAATGTGGGTTTGTCCAGAGAAGTCTCTGCTGCTCCTGTGCTGCTCTTCCCTGTGTACCTATAGTCTGGGGAAGCTCTATGCCTCTCCCCAGGGACAAGCCAAGAGGATGTGTCGGAGCCACAAATGTTTGAGGGTTGCCCACACTTGCAACGGTGTGTTTTATCTGAAACAGAACAAGACACTGGATTTTAACTTTGCTTTAGGCTTTGTGTAGTCGACCCTGCCCTGTACCATCCCACCCCCTGCAAAAGTCTGCTGTGGATGGTGACACATAAAAGAGACACGTTTTGCCAGTTTCCATTGGCCTCGCCTGGTCCTTAGATTGCCCACGGACTTACCCTTTGGGATTCCTTGTGTGCTGTGGGCTGCTGTTTGTGAAAATGTTCGCTTTCTGCAGGAGACACCGTGGCTGCCAGCTTCTCCCGCTTGCAGGGGAGACACAGGCAGGAAGCCCCTGCTTCCACAGTCTGGAATTTGGCTGCTGTATGTGGTTAGGTGGGTTGCCTTCGGTAGAGAAGAGAGGCTGAAGGAGCTTGCCTGCTAGGATGAAGGCAGAATTTCTCTTCTAAGTTTCAGAACTAGGCCTTCACTCTGGCACAGGAAGACACATCTGTCCCGGCTGCTGTTTTGAATCCCTATCTAATTGGACCTGAGGGTAGTGAGGAATGTGATTTTAAATGGTTGTTTGTGGTTAATTGCCAGCAAGTTGGCTTCAACATATAGTGACCCTATGAGAGAGAGACTTCCAAGTTACCTTGTAACCTGCTACCTTGCTCAGGTCTTGCAAATTCTGGGCTGTGTTTTCCTTGCTTGAGTCTATTAATCAGTAATGCAGTCTTCCTTTTTTCCCTACTGCTTCCCACTTTACCAAGCGTTTTCATCTTTTCTAATGTATGATGTCATCTCATGATATGGCCAAACTATGTGATAGCCTTAGTTTCATGATTTTGGCCTTTAAGGTTGATTTGCTCTAGGATCAATCGGTCATTTTGGCAATCCGTGGTATGTGTAGAAATGTTCTGCAGAACCGCATTTCAAACAAATTGGTTTTCTTCCTTAAATAAGTTGCTTCAGTTGTTGTCACTATTTACACTTGAGGATCTTATCTCGTTTCTTCATAGCTGCCTTTCCATGTCTTAATCTTCTTCAGATTTCTTGTCTGTGGTTTCCATTTTGATTTATGCCTGTGCCAAGATATAGAAAATCTCATTATTTCAATGTGTTTTAGGGTATTCAGCTTTTAAATGCACCACTTTAAAAGACACGATTCAGAATACAGTCCATTTTCATGGAGGATCCGTTCCGGGACACACACATGAAAATGGAGATTCACAAATATTCAAGCCCCATAGGCTTGAGTGGGGGGCGCACCCCATTGATTTTAACAGAGGTTGCTGCTCCGTGAATATGCAAAACTATGGACTTCAAGTCCGCGAGAACGGAGTGGCGACTGTAGTACTCCGTCAGGTATAAGGACTCATTTGTCCCCTACCTGAAAATGTCTATACTTGTAGTACTTCCCCTTTGGCTGTTGAAACGGCTGCATTTTCCCTGTTTGTATTAGCAACATGGACCTCCTTCATGGTAACAAGATGCGAGTTAGGGGCATAAAACTTCATTTCTGCAATCCCATGTTTGGTTTCTTTACTGCTGCTCTGAAATACTTTCCCTTGGGTCTAAAATTTTCCATACTTTCTTTCAGGTCAGAGGCTCACACAGGCAGTTCATGCCAGGTTTGTGAAATCTCTCAGTGAGGCAACTGGAAAATATTTTCCATTTTAATGTGAAAGCAAGCTGCCTAACAACTCAGAGAAGGCTGAAGTGACTGAGCCAGCGGCTATACCACTCCTAAATACTGTATTCAGAAACTGGGATTTACTGATCTCAGTGCTCTGTGTTTGAACACACTGACTGTAGCCACTTGTTGAAGGTGTTGATCAGATGTTTTTCAATTTCTGATGAGCGTGGTGCATCATTGGGATAGTAAGGCTTTGGAGTGGGTGATCTTCTTAAGAAAGAGTGCAGTTGGCCCTCCACATTTGCAGCTTTGACTTTTGTGGATTTGATTAATATGTTCTCTCTAGGAATCTCTAGCGCCATTCTTCCAGAAGTTGACCATAGAGTTGCCCCGGAGGATTAAAAAATCTTAGAGAAAACACTTCTCTGGACATTTATAGGTCTTCCAGCATGATTTTGTGGTCAACTTCTGGCAGATGTTGACCATAGAGTTGCACTGGAAGACCTGGAGATTCCTAAAGATAGGTAAAAGAATAGTATTTTTATTTTTATATTTTAATAGTAAAATGTGTTTTTCCACATTCCTAGGGGTCCTTCACCCCTAACCTCAGTGAACGTGGAGGGCCAACTGTAGTTTCATGCGCAGTCACAGAAACAGTTAAACCTATTTTGGATTGCCCTGGCTTTCCAGCCTAGCCTTGGTTCCTCCCTGCTTTGGAGATGTTGTGTGTGTAGCCCAGTGTGTTTTGGTGGTGGAGGAGTCATTCAGTTGGCAGGGCGAGGTATACAAATATTGAAAGAGGCAGGAATTCGCAAGTCAGAAAGCTGTTCTGGGAGTTCACTCTCATAATCGGCTAGCTGCTTCCTGATGCTGTAAAGAACTGCAGCCAACATTGCTGAGTAGGCCCCATAAAAGCCGCTCCAATTTATACATGATAACTTCTAGGGTGGCAACCCATGAAAGGACTTCCAAGAATGGAAGATCCAGCAGGAGGACTGGCAAACAGGCCCTGATGATAGGAGCCTGTGGGTGATGAGTGTGACATGGTGGCACACATAATAATAATAATAATAATAATAATAATAATAATAATAATAATAATAATAATAATTACTAGCACTCGTCTTCAGAGGCTTGGAAGGAAGGATTAATAGGGAGAAATAGCAAAACAAGGTAGCAAAACAGATCTCAGGAATGGCAACAGGGATAACTAAGCTCCAAAACACACTGCAGAAATAATCCAGTTTGAGAACACTTTAACTGCTCTGGCTCAGTGCTAGGGAGCCCTGGAAACTGTATTGTGACTCCAGAGCTCTCTGACAGAGAAGGCTAAATGTCTCACAAAACTACAGTTCCCAGAATTCCCTAGCACTGAGCCAAGGCAGTTAAAGCGTTCTCAAACTGGATTATTTCTGCAGTGTGTTTTGGACCTGAGTTCTGTTTCTAGCTGGTTGGATAGATTTTGATGATTTTTCAAAAAATTAGCTAGAATTCAATTGATTTTTTAAAAAATATCAAGAGTAAAATACTACAATTTCCTCTTGATTCTCATTCAAAAATATCCTGAAACCTATTGTTAGTCCCAACTAGAGTTGACCCATTGAATCACTATGTTTTTCTGTCACCATTCAAGAGTTGAGTGAATGAATCCTACTCTTGTTGGAACTGAGATGAATTTAGCCAGTTAACAGTTAAAACTAAATCTCATTCCAAGCATGCTAGCTAAATCTATACTTTAAAAATGAATTAATGCCTCTGTCAGACTTATACTGAGTTGCTTACAATCAGACATGAAAAAGCAGGTCGACACTTACTTGTCTTTCAGTTTATGAATAAAAAATAAAGCAGAGATATAGGTTATGTGTAGTTGCAGAAGTTTTAAGGAGAATGTATATTTGTTTAAAGCCGACTTTTAAAAGTTTGAGAATAGATCAAGCAGAATTACATGGTGGTCCAGTTCTCTATGCTCTAGTCTTTGGGTGCCTGGTTCCAAACCCATCTCCACCTGCAACCATATAATTCCCTTGTGGCTTCTGTGCCACTTCTCTTCTCCAGGAGGACAGCACAGAAGTGTCAAGGAATGTTGTTGTGTACTTTCGAGTCTTTTGGCAACCCTGAGGCCAACCTATCACAAAGTTTTCTTGGCAAAATTTGTTCAGAGGAGTTTTGCCTATGCCTTCCTCTTGTGACCTGAGAGAGTGTGACTTGTCCAAGGTCACCCAGTGAGTTTCCAAGGCTGAGCAGGGATTTGAACCCTGGTCCCCAGAGTCATAGTCCAACACTCAAACCACCACCACATGGCCCTAAGGAATACTGTACAATGGCTCCTCAGTATCAGCAGGCTTCCCATCCAAGGATTTGAGCTCCCACAAATCACCACGCTCCATATAATCCAATAGCAACACTGACGCAGGTGCATGTACATTACCATCCATTGGATAATATGAGACTTGAACTTCCGCATCTTTCAGATGGGAAGGGCCCACTGTATTTAAATCAGTGATTTAAATTTTGGGTATCTTCTTGGTGGTCTTGAAGTCCTGTTGATTTAAATCAATTCACCCTTGAATTCTTGATGCCCACCTTTGTAATAAAAGAGCAAATTGTTTCTGGCCCTTGCAAAGCTGTTGGACAATTTGTGGATTATTTCTTTTAAATTTCCTTTGATTACTCTTTTTAAAATCAGTAAAGCTGCCCTGCGTGGACACAAAGCTTTACAAAGGCCGGCAATCTATCCCCTATGGAATGATGAAAACACACTTGGTCTGTTGGCCATAGTAGAATTGGGGGATAGTTTGTGAATTTTGGGTATACCTAGTACCCCACCCCACCTATACTTACTAACCATCGCAGTGCAAATTTTCCAGTGATTGCTATTGCTGTACAAAGGTTTGCATGTACCCAAGGGTCAGAGAAATGTTAATTACAGAATGGCAAGCATGCCCCAGTTTGTAAATTTGCAATCTTTGCTGTACCAGTTATGACTGTCCTCCTTTTTATTCGAAACAGCAGTGGCGAGTCATATTTTATAATAGATAAGATGCAGAAATTAGGCTTTTTAATGCTAAAATTGTGTTGGGGCCAGAAAGGAAGGGTGAGTAAAGACCTCACGTCAAAGCACAACATTGCTGAGAAGTTTATTTGTTCAGTGTTCAAATCTTCAGATTGTGTGGCAGGGTTTTGTGTTTGTTTTTTTAATATAGGGATGTACAGAGGAACAGAAAGAGAGAAAAGAATCAGGATTGTTATTGAACTTTCTAATGATCTGAACCCTGATACTGAATGTATGCATAATCTGATTATTATGGCAATATGAAAATGCAACATGCATACAGCTTCCCTCAAACAGGGAACTAGGTTGGTAAAAATGCTTCCAGGCCATCCAGGAAAATTTGAAGTTTGTTATCGGTATAGCATAGCCTAAAGCCAGTTGATGGTTGGGGGAAAAATGCAACTAGCAGGTAAATCTTGGGAGGATTAGGCACTTCATTGGCATTTCCCTAGAGTTGTATGATGCTTTGAAATAAAAGGATAGAGGTGGTCTTTGGTTCCTCAGTCTTGGATTTGGGAAGAGGACCACTACTACTGTTGATGCCAGAAGGGCAGGTCTTTGCTTGTCAAAGAGAAGCATCATGATTAGTAATAAAGAAATACTCTCAGCCTCAGAGGAATGCAAAGGCAACCCCCTCCAACAAAACTTGCCAAAAACCCCCATCCTTCCCCATGATAGGTTTGCCAAAAGGTCGCCATAAGTCTAAGCAACAACACTGAAAAATCCAAGCTTGAAGTTGAAGAAGTTAAGTAGTCTGCATTTTTAGGCTGGTATTTTAAAATCTTAACATTCACAAACAAAGCTGAAATGTTTCTGAAAGGCTGCCAAGAGCAGCCTTGGAGAGAGTGTTTGTAAAAGCATATGGTATAATTCCTTGGTAATAGAGTAGCTCAGAATTGAGAGCACAAGTCTTGTGTAACAAAGACTGGTCCAGGGAAAGAAAAATAAAACAACCCAAGGGATGTGAATTTTTTAAAAACCAGACTTCAGCAAACCCACTCCTCCTTGTGTGTGTGGGGCTGTCCTCTGGCAAATGTGGTGAAGAGCCAACCTTCTTCCTCTTGACTTGAGTTCCCTTTATTTACGTGCAGCTTTCCCAGAATGAACTGTAGCCAAAATGCCTCACATTAAACATCAGCTTCTCAAAAAGCAGTATTGCATTAAAAACAACAACAACAACACCAATTCGTTATGAAACACAACAAATTCTGGTTAGGTAAAGCCATCAATTCAATAAACATAGCATACACTCAGTGTTACAATAAATTAGTCCATGAACATTAAAGCCATAAAAATAGATGAGGATTTGTCTGTGTTGTTGCCCAGCAGTCACTAGCAACACCACTCCGGCTCCAAATTTGGGAGAAAGGTTTGGGGTTGTTTGGTAGCCGAGGAGCAAGCTATCCAAAGAGTCTTAACAGACAAAACAAGAGCATTTCCTCCTCCCTCTTTGGAAAAGAATTGCTAGCTTATATCTCTAGTTTATTCTGAGAAAAATGTTTTTGACTAAGGGCCCAAACAGATAGGCCAAATGAATTAGCTTTGGGCCACTTTGGAGATACTGTGTTCCCAGGCGGCTGAATGGGATTGGACTGGATGATGCTTGGGGTCTCTTCCAACTCTAGGATTCGATGATACACCTGATCAGCATCATGTAGAGGTTTGAGTGTTGGACTACGACTCTAGAGACCAGGGTTCGATTCCCAGCTTGGCCATGAAACCCACTGGCTGACCTTGGGCAAGTCACATGCTCTCATCCTAAGGAGAATGCAAAAGCAAACCTCATCTGAACAAATCTTTCCAAAATCCAAGTGATCGTGGAAAAGGAATCTAGGTCTCCATCCCTGCACATAGCATGCAGGTTGGTGGCAAGAAATTGCTGGAGTCCCAGAGAGCAGGTTCTGATTACATGTTTAGTGACTCATTCCTGCAATAATAAAACAGCAAGTTTAGGCCTAACAAACTACCAGAAAGAATTGTAACTACAAAGCCACTTAACAATTCTGAATGTTAAATTTTCCTATTCGTAACATCATTGTAACCTCCAGTGGATTTAGTGCTGCATCAGATTCTTGCTTAATCATTGGCACAATTGGCTGAAGGAGAATTATATGCCTTTTTCTTCTTGGGTTGCTGTGTTGAAAGTGCTTTATAAATGACTAATTAAGATTCCACTAAGCCCAGTGTAGTTTCCTAGAATGTACAGTTACCTCTTTCTACGCTGCTGTCTGGGGAACCTTAGGGAGGCTATTCTGCTATTTATTTCTAGAGTACTTGTGTTTGGTAATACACTGATGGAAGTGGGAAGGAGGTTGATAATTTGTTTCCATGCGTTAAAAAACATACAAATGCTCCTCTGTGAATGATGATTTTAAACTGTGGCAGAAAAACAACAACAGATCACCCTCTTTGAACTATTCAAAATGTTACTTAGTGATAATTTTAGGGCAGATGTAACAGATGATGGAGAAGAGTACTATAGATACTGTGGGCTACTAAAAAGGCTACTACAGTGATCCCTCCACATTTGCTGGTGTTTGGAGTGAAGAACCCCTGTGTATGTGGGAAAAACACAAATAAAAAACGCTATTCTTTTAACCTGAGAGAACACTTCTCCAGGCCCTCCAGCACAACTTTGTGGTCAACATCTGCTAAAAGGAGTGTTTTCTCTAGGAACTTCTAGGTTCTCCACCCCAACTCTATGGTCAACTTCTGGCAGAGTTGCACTGGAGGACCTAGAGATTCCTAGAGGACATATTAATCAAAACCACAAAAGTCAAAGCTGCAAATGTGGAAGACCAACTGTAAATGAGTCTTAGAGCAACCAAGCCTGAAAGCTCCCTAGAAGCCAAGATGACTAAACAGACTGTTGTTCTTTGGATGTGTCGTGGGAAGACATGACCCAAGAGAAAAGACAATATTGCTTGGAAGGGTAGAAGGAAGTCGAAAGAGAGGAAGACTGCATTCCAGATGGATGGACTCCATCAAGGAAGCCACAATGGCTGCCCTGAGTCTGCTAGACCTGAGCAGCGCGTGACTTGAACGTCTCTCATTCATGGGGTCACCATAAGTCAAATTTGACTTGATGGCTGTTAATAGAAAATAACAACAAAAGATTAAGAGGATTGAAAATGTGCTGCTTTTTGTCTCCAGGTTACATGCTAGGAAGGAATCCTACCTGAAACACTGATGAACTGAGGGGCGGTCACTGCTGCCAATGTTGAGGTCTTTGGAAGACTGAACCAACTCGGTGGAAGCAGTTTCCTATGTTCTGAAATCAGATTCAGACTCTTTTCCAGGAACAAAATGGTGCTTTCATCCAGAAACAAATAGCTAAGTTCCATCCAGAGGTCATTTATTTAAAAGTAGTCCAGGCACTGAAAATCTGTTGGGACCAAGAAGGCTTTCTCACATACGCTTCCATTTTCGGGGCTGAATCATCAAAGAAGTGTGGTTAGCATTTCAGATTAAGACGGTAACTATCTTCAGTGTTTAAAATGCAAATGTAGTTCCCAGTTGTCCCTTTCTACAGCTTCAGCTATGATTTTGAAAATGTTCCTTACTGGATTCTCTTCTTTGAACTGAACTGGAGTTTGTAGGTGTTTTTTTTTTTAAATGCGTTCTATCTGTCCTTTCAACAGAACTGACCACTGCAGTTCTTGCAATCTGTCTTTATTGACTGTTCCCCTTGTCCCTCCCCTGACTTTCCCACTTAGTAAGATTAGTTTGGATTATTCCTTTTCATTTTGCTCTTACCAATATCACAAAAGAAAACTATTCTGTGCATGTACTGTTCAGTGCTTTGTCCAAGAAAATGTTGAATGAACTTGTCCTTTCTCAGAAGGTTCACTAATACAACAGGAATTGATCCGTGCTGTTGACTGCCTTGTCAGCTTTTATTGAAAGATGAAAGCTCATGGTAAAGACGTCTGCCAATGGATTCTGGAAGGTGGCATAACATTTTGAGCCACGCTAAAATATCTTCCATACTTTTCCCTGCATAAATGAAAGATTTAAGTATGGAGCAATACATAATCTGTTCATTTTATTAGCCCCAATCTACTACAGACTTGATTTTAACCATTTTTTCTAACACTATCAGTGAACTTGTGCCAGGATTGATAGATCACATGTAAAACAAGTTGCTGAGAGATAGGACTCAGAGAGAAGCTTTTGTTTGGAAAAGCCTGTATTGATAAAATGGTTATTGATACATATTTTAAAAAGTCTATATAGCTTTGGCTTGTGTTG